ACTACTGAATGACAAGTCCATATTTATCAATTTTCATTTCTCAGTGACCAGATAAGTGATAATCCAAAACATAATATTAATATCTTCTAAAATAAACCGACAAATATTCAACTTGTATAATTTATATTCTCTGAAAAATAAGAAAAATTGAATGTGAAATATAAAAATTGCTATCAACAAATGTCACGAGAAGACTTTATAGTAAAAAAAAAAATTAACGATTTAAATTTTTTTGTTCATAAATCATAAACATATTAAGCGACGTAAATCTGAAAGGTAAAGCTATGGACGACAGATAAAAATACTTTCAATCTACAGWATAATTCAAGTAACATATTTGTAACATTGAAAACTATATTCTCAATCACAATACTAATCCAAACTAAAATTGTATCAATTGTTTTTGTTCCAATAAATRTAGCTTGGCGATGCCGTAAGCTATCTAAAACACATTTGAAATCATATCGTAAATGTTTTCACTTCAAAATTCTATAAATGTTAAATTTGTGTCGAAATTGCCATCAACAAGTGTCACAAGGCTTTGTATACAATCATTACAATCGCATTAGGTATTTATATTTTATAGTTACCTATACGCAATCTATTAACATTTAAAATTGTGTCTTTTGTGTCTTTTGTGTTTATTAGTTCTTTTTGCGTTCTACATAAAATTTTATAAGGTATTTAAATTTGATGGATTTTTTAATTTAATTTGAATGGCTTAAAATGTATATGCATTCGCAATTCCTAAAATGTCAGATATAAATCCATATTATACTCGCATTATCATGTCTGTGTTGTGAACTTATACTACACTAAACAGCAAAGTTATCGTATTAACAGATTTTTATCATGGGCCATAAACATTTTTTTTTTTGTAAGCGCAGCAAATTCTCTTGTCACGTTTTAATTCGTTAAAATTTTTTTCTGCCTTGTATACATATTTAGTGGAATTGACGTGCACCTAACTAATTTATTTGTTTTTAATTTCAGTATTTTATCATAATATTAAATTCCGATTATCGGTTGATAACGTTTGTTGATCATTATCATAAATTCTTTGGCAATAGTAGAGCTATTCATATACACTAAAGCAACTTTATAATCGTTCGACTCCGAACAGACGGAGTACAGCACGCGGGCAAACTACAAAAAAAAAAAAGAGCAACTCCAATGTACGGCATGTGTGTGCCGACAACAGTAAAATTTTTATTATACAAACAACAAATTTTCGATAACCCGTTTGATATTGTGTGTACAGATTAAAAACGCCGATCGTCGGGTGTGCGTGAGTGATGGATTAATAAAATATGTACGGGCCATCGAACGTTTCGAGAATACAAACTAAAACGAGTTAGTTGACAAAAGTGCAAACACAAAGTCGATGCACAAAAAGGCTAAGGCGAGCGGCGCGAAAAAAAACGTGTTTGCACGAGGTCGGTATATATAGCGAAAGAGCGCAACTGTCGAAAACGTTAATAAATACTTTAGTTATGATTGTACATAAGACATCTACATTGACACATAGAAATGCTATTGTTGATTTAACTTTTTACCATGTTGTTGACAGTGTAGTTGTTAATTATACAAATTTTGTAATTGAATTAACACCAACAGGAGTATATTTAAACATTTTAAACCATATGGTTTGACTATAGTTTATAATCAATATTAAAATAACAATATACATATTATTA